CCTTTCATGGTAGAATCAAGAGCACTGTGGACTGATGAGGCCAGGAAGCAAAGTATATTTTAAAGTGACATAGACTCAGCTTTAGCTTAGTTGAACAGCTGAAATTTGAAAGGTATGGTTGGTTGCACAAACTGAGTCACAGAATCGCACTTGTTCCCTAGAACAAGGCTGTCAAGTCTGTATCCAAATCCAGCAAATCACAACACAACATGGAAACTTCCTTGAAAAGAAAGTTGACTAATTTTGAAGAGACAAAACAGAAACACTGAAACAACCTAGGTAGTTGTGGTTAATATGTACTTATGGCAGGCATATTTGAGGTCAGTTTTAATTTGTTGCATAGATACTAATTTTCAAATGAATCACTACAGTAATTTTTAAAATGGTTACATTTTCCTTTTAATGATATGGAATGCCTACGCAAAGAAATAAAATATTTCAGCATTTGCACAATTACATGGACAATTTTAGTCACCTCCTTTTCAGATGTAACCTCTTTCTCTTCAAGTGTTTTTTTTTTTTTTTTTTTTTGGTTGGTTGGTTGGATTTTTGTTTTGGTTTAGTGTCATTCTTTAAGTTCCTCTTGTCCCTCTACACTAAAGAGTTTTAAACCTTAGTGCAACAGTTAAAGTTTACAACCTAGCAGCAGTCGTCATCTTCAGGTTTAAAAAAATACAACCACTTCCAAAAACAGTTCTGTTGTGACATTTTATTCAAATTGTTACAGTTACTTAACTTTTCAAGGAATGATTTTATCATTGTTTTCTCTTTTTAAAAAAAGCTTGACTTGCATTTCGCTGTCTTCACAAATGGCTGTTGTCATCGAGAAACTAATACGCTCTTGCATATAACTACAGTGAGCATTAATTAGGTTATGCTTATTAATTTTTTTTATTCTTACAGAGATTATTTATTTATATTTCATAACTTTTTTATATGAAAGACACCTAAGCTCAGTAATCACTTTGAGTTTTAGGAAAGAAAGAACAGCCATCACCTCTCAGAAAAGCAAAACACACAATACAATATTAAAGATTATGTGTGTCTCAGTTTTAAAGCAAGTTCTGAAACTGGTACATAGGAAGCCAAGTGCATCCATCAACTCCAAAGGAGACTTAAGACACTTTAGAAAAAAACTGCTCTCTGTCCCAGGAATAACACTGTTTCTTCTTCCCACCAACAGTATAAAGCAGAGGAAAGAAACCCTTTGTAGCAAATGTGTTACTTGATGTAATATCCAACTACTTGTCATTCTGAGAGCCACAGTAATTTTTATCACCCATAATTTCAAATTTTTCATTCCAAGAAGAAAAAAATGTCCATGATAAATTATTGAAAATTAATTGTTCAAATCAGTGTAATATTTATTTAAAAAATTGGGATCAAGTAGATAGATAGGTACAATGAGTTTTCATTTATTACTACTACAAAGGTATAGCAATATTGATAGGTGTATGACATTTACAATATAAACTGCTTAATACAAAGCCCATACCAGTATGACCTATTTATTTTACAACTCTTTTTGTAAGAAAACATTTGCTAAAACTGTTAAGTGACAGACAACAATTACTTGTACAACACAACGCTGTAATCAAATGATAACACCAACTTTTTCTATATTATTGATTTCATTAAGTTTATTTCAGTATGTAATGACTCTCCCAAACTCTCTCCTTCACCAGTTCTCCTTTAAAAGCAGAAGAAAATATTGTTACAATTGAACAAAACAACCTACAATTTATCAACTGTGGCCCATTGGGTTGTCAGTGACATTTTCTGAAGTTGAAATTTCTTTTTCAAAAACAGAATTCCTTGAACACATTCAATTCAAAAAACCTTAATGCAAATAAAAGTTCAAATCGAAATAAATCCTGCTAGACAACTAAATATTCCCAAATAATTGTGTCCTGAGTAACTTTGGACACCTACGGCATACACTAAAACTCCTAATTTTTGAGCAACATAGAATGGTTTGGGTTGGAAGGGGACCTTGAAGATCATCTGGTTCCAACACCCCTGTCATGGACAGGGACACTTTTCACTAGACCAGGTTGCTCAGAACCCAACCAACCTAGCCTTGAACACCTGTGCCAGTGCCTCACCTCTCCCATAGTAAAGAATTTTTTCCCAATATCTAATCTAACCTACTCTCAGTTTAAACCTTTCGTACTGTCACTGCATGCTCTTGCAAATAGTCTTGCCCTATAGGGAAGGGCTACAGATGTCGTTTATCTGGACTTCTGTAAAGCTGTTGACATGGTCCCCCCACAACATCCTTCTCTCTAAATTGGCAAGTGATGGATTCTATGGGTGGACTGTTTAATGGATTAGGAATTGGTTGGACAGCCACAATCAATGGCTCAGAGTCCCACTGGACATCAGTGAAGAGTGGTGTCCTCGGGGATCCGTATTGGGACCAGTGTTATTTAATATCTTCATTAATGACATAGACAAAGGGATTGAGTGCACCCTCACCAAGACTGCAGATGACACCAAGCTGAGTGGTCCAGTTGACAAACTTGAAGGACAGGACACCATCCAGAGGGACCTGGACAAGCTCAAGAAGTGGGCCACGGGAATCTCATCAGGTTTAACAAAACCAAGTACAAGGTGCTGCACCTGGGTATGGGCAACTCCCAGCATCAATACAGGCTGGAGGATGAACAGATGGAGAGCAGCCCTGGGGAGAAGGACTTGGGGGTGCTGGTGGATCAGAGGCTGGACATGAGCCAGCAGTGTGCACTTGCAGCCCAGAAAGCCAGTTGTATCCTGGGCTGCATCAAAAGCAGCGTGGCCAGCAGGTCAAGGCAGGGGATTCTGCCCCTCTACTCTGCTCTGATGAGACCCCACCCAGAGTTCTGTGTTCAGCTCTGGGGTCTCCAGCATAGGAAATACATCAACTTGTTGTAGTGACCCAAGAAGAGGGTCAACAAGTTGATCAGAGGGTTGAAGCACCTCTCCTACAAGAAAAGGTTGAGAGAATTGTGATTGTTCAGCCTGGAAAAGAGAAGGCTTCGAGGTGATCTAACTGTGGCCTTCCAGTACCTGAAAGGAACTTACAGGAAAGATGGGGCACTCCATCATAAAAAGTCACTAGGTTGGTCAGACAGGATTTTCCCTTAAGAGTTTCTCTTTATATCAAAACTACTCCAAACCCTTAACACTCCAGAAATATCTGAAACCTAACAGTTAAGAATTACACTTAATCACCATTCCAAACCGGATGCACATGAGCACTCAAATAAAGCTTCTCACAGCCTATTACACTTGCACAGTACCAAATACTTCAACAAAGGAATTAAGAACCTGCTTGCATAAAATCTGCTTGTCAGAATACACCAAAATAATGTGTCTTGATTTTAAAGGTTCTCTTAAGGATCCTCACAATAATGCACAATACTCAACACTACTTGTGAAGGTTCTTGGTACTGCAAACTGCTCCTCCTCCCCAAATCAAACCAGAACATACAACTTGCTACCCATATCCTTCTCATTCTCTAATACATATGTAAACAGAAAATACAACAATATATCTGAACAAATAGAGTACATTCTGTCTTTAAGAGTTAAGTATAAATTTATCATTCATCCTCTCAAAATTCCATGTTCACTTCATATTCCACGTGCAGTGTATGTTATATTGGTTGTGTGGGAATGTCCCAAGTTCAAAGTTAATCTCAGGCCTTTTTGTTTCTTCAAGATACAGTATTCAATATTTCTTCAAGTCTTTCCATGGCTTCTGGGCATGGCTATGTTTTTAGTATCTTGGAAACCTATCCTGTCCCTTTTGGCATAGCTGTGACAAAAGAATAACGCTTATGTTATGTTTCCAGTTACACCATTTCCAGATTTGCTCTTTACGCATAGCATATGCACAAGAACAGCCATCCCCAAAAGCATCAGAACTGAATGTCCAATGAGAAAATACAAATACACGAGGCAACATTAAAGAACTTTACAATATTCAGCACTGTGATGCCTCTTCTTCTCTTGGACCACTGGTTTCTTAAAAATGGAAAGAGATGAAGAAAGAACCCCATGCAATGAGCAGCACTGGGGCCACTCACATATATTCAGGTTTGATTTTCAAAATCAGAAACAGAAATTTCTTGCAAGTAAAACAGTACTGTGATATTTGAGAACACTACCCCTATAAACTCAGAGCAGAACATACCAAGCAAAAGAACCCAAACAAAAAAAACTAGAATACCCCAATGGCATATCCTCCCCAGAAATATTTAATATTTCAGATCTATCCTATTATACTGTAAATGCTGTGGTTAACATTTAAACCTTCCAGCCAGCATTAGCAAGATGCTTCAGAGCTAAGATGGCTCTGTAATATGTAAAAGACATCAGCATCTGTTGTCTTGATTTGGAATTATTTTTAACCACAACAATTATTACTATCTTAACAATCTAAAGAATAAATTAAAAACAAACCAAGTAAAGAAAATGAAGGCAGAAAATTTAACACATTGAAAGATGAGAGTAACAATATTTTTTTTAATCCTATGCTGTACAGTGGAGATTAGACAGTACAAGTACAGAGCCAAAGTGTAACCAGTTAGAGTCTTCTTGCAGTAATGTCCAACCTGTATGCTCTGCATATTTTTGAATGTTTCAACTACATACAAGTGAGCTTTTATATCTAAAAAAAAGAACTTAAGGACCAGTAAGCCTCTGTGTTGTGCTTGCTATTAATTTACTTCAGATACACCCATTAGAAAGAAATAAAAGTTATTAACAGAAACTTTAATTTCAATTATATTTTCATTAATAACAAACAGCTATCGCTATTACAGCAACATTAAAAAAAGCCAGTAGTAAAAGTTCCATTGCAGCTACTTTGCCCTCATTGGCATTAATTTCATTTTTGGAAGTCTTTGTTACTTATGTTTTCTCATGAGAAGCAAAACTATGTTATTAGTAGCAGGATAAACTTAAGAAGTATTAAGGTTTATTTAATTCTAATTTGTAGATAAAGAAATAATTACCTGCTTGTATTCACCAACGCAGTTCTGACAGCAGAATCTTTTTTGCTGACCATCAATAGTAAGAACATTGTTTCCAGCTCCTTTACTGGGCAAATACTCCCCACAGTGCTCACAGCAATTCATTATTAAACCATTTGCCATCCTGTATCTATTGAAGCAATGGTCACTGCACAGCTTATGAGTCATATTTTTAAAGCTAACTTCATGACGAATCTAAAAAATAAAAATAAAAATTATTCTATCACCACACAAACACAAAGTTGCCTGAAACTAGTAGTAGACTAGCCAGAAGTCTTACATTCTAGTACAATAACTAAAACCAGATTATACTAGCTCACTATTTAAGAACAGAGATGCTTGAAATGACCATGAAATCTAGAAATAGGAATGGGTGCCTCTGTTGTCTCCAAAGTTCTATGAAAAAAATCTTGGACCCATCTACTCTTTAGCCTATAAGGAAAGACCACGGGGAAGGATGTAGTCACTGCATATTACAGCAGGTCAATTTATGTGATTTTATAAAATGGTCAATTTGCAGGCTAACAACACAGCATATGAAGACTGGCCAGACACATATGCTGTGTAAAGCAGTAGTCTAAACTATGGTGGGCTAGGTAACGGCATCAAGAGTAAATAAACACGTTCACAAGAATTCGAAAAGTACACATATTCTACAGATTTCTACAACCATCTGCATTATCTTTTAAAAGATATAGTAAAAGAAGCAGGTAATACAGTAAAATCTTGACTTTTTTCCAACTGGGAGATCTGGGTTATAATTACAAGAATCTATGCCTAGTAGAACACATTATCAGCAAAAGGCACTTCAAGTTTTTGAAACAAAAATCAAATATTAACCTCTTGGAATTCTTTCTTCTCTCAGTTGCTCTTCATGAATATTAAGCCTGCATATCTTAATATCTCATAGCATATGAAAATACTGAAAATAAGGAAATTTAAAATCTTCAGTTGTCTTATTTCAGAATATAAGTGAATATGTCATTATTGAGAAAGATAAGAGGAAAAAAACCAGTCAATCAGACCTCAGTTAGTTTACCACAGATAGTGCATCTTGATTTATTCAAAGCTCCTTTTGAGGGATTCTGTTTATCTTCATAGAAGGATAAACATGATGTACTGCAAAACTCCTGAAAAGACTCACTTGAATCTACTTGAGCAACTATGGTACCTTTCATTGTTGTTATATCTCTGAAAGACAAAAAATAGAATTCATGGCTTGTGTATAAATACATACATATATTTAAACAAGAACACTTCATATAAGATTCAATTCTTCCTTTCAATGCTTACATTTCAGAAGCTTATTTAGTGTACAGTTCTTAGTGACAGGATGAACACTAAGTTTAACAATATTTTTACACTACTCTAAGTACTGCAAGTATGTCTTTACTGTGCAAAACCCTGTTTTATTTTCTTTGGATTTGGGTTATTTTTTCCCCATTAAATTATTCTAGAACTAAGAACATTAATGCACCATTAGGTGCAGTTGTGTCAAACTGAATTTTATACAAAAAAATTAACATCAAATTTGAACAAGCCATTTTCTAACTTTACGTAAAAGTTACATACTTAAGTTTCATATGAAAAACTCAGATTCATAGTAAAAAAAATAAGAAATGGTCTTTACTTCTATATAGCTCCACCATTTCCAGTATTAATCTCAGGATAAGATGAGAAGGAGAGAGAGAGTTGTTTTCTCATATTTCTGAAATTTATAAATACAACCAAAAAGCTTAAAACTCTACCACAAACTTGTCCTAAAGTTCTACAATTTAAAATTCAAAAAAGTTAATTCCACCATTAAAGTTCCACAGCACCTCAACAGTTCATGCAGTTGCCCATGAAACTGTGTAAATTTAATGCATTAAACCAGAAAACCAACCATCAATAAAACTGATTTGGAATTGAACAAACCTTCTAACCAAACTGATTTATACCATCCCAAACTATCACATACCATACATTAGAAGCAGCAAGGAGAAGAAATAAAAGCTCCCCCTTTTGCCTTCTAAGCAAAAAAACCGCTACTATTGACATACGGGAAATGCCATTGGTAAAAATATATAAAAAAATTGACTGGGCACATCTGGATCGCCAGCTGGAAAATACATGCCCAAGACACTCAATACCTATGAGCCCCAAAATGAAGATGAGTGAAAAAAACCTAGAAAAATATATACTTGCATAGATAGACTCCCTTGAAAATAAAATTGTACCGCCCCTGGATATTAACACTTGCAAGTCTGTCTTCTTCCATCAAGGTCAGCATATTTTGGTTTACTTTCTGGAAAGCAAGTAAGATCTGTACTAGGGAGTGCTATCTCTGCTGTTCTGCAAAACAAAGGCAGAGCTCCCACCTCCGAGGAGCCTATGGTTTCTGGCAGGATTCCACCAGGACTTACACATGCTATTAACTTGTATAAAAGCACATACTAACTTGCACCAAAGGAGACCAGTGCAAAGTCAAAGAGTGACACAAGACAATAAAAACTATAAACACTATGGAGAACGCCAGGTAATTCCTATACCTTCCTTCTTATGTAGTTACAAAGGTTCAGAAGAAAAGTGGACTACAGTAAAATACCTAGGAATTTTGACTTTTCAAATGGAGCTATACAATTCTTTAAAAAAGTTTATTGCAGGCTTTACTTTCTCCACTTCAAAGAAATCTAAGTATTTAAAGATACATCTAAGTACAACCTCCAAAAGTCTGACGTGATAACCAAAAGACCTGAAAACTACTATCATCTATGCAACCTACATTCAAGATCTCCTGGATTTTCTGAAGTCCTCTTAGCCTTCACTGAACTGAAATCTGACAACATTATGTTTTCTTTAGTAGGAAAAGAACACAGAAGCAAGCATGGGGCATGGTACCTGGAGTGCTACCACCCAGTAGCAAAAAAAGGTGAATAAGATTGAGCTTCATAATGAAATCACACTACAGAGAACAATTTAATGCATATGCTACCTTCTATTTAACAGTAATTAACTAAAAACGGCATAGTAGTGGAAAAGCAAACACCAACATCACCTCAGAAATTGCCAAAGGTGACTTCACAGAGGTTGTCTAGAAATTAAATACAGTAAAACTATTTTAAATAACCCCAAAAGCTGGAAATAAAGTATATTCCTCATAATTTAAAATAAAGCCTTTTCATTTGGGGCAGTTTTGTATGTAGTCTCTTACAATACACAGATTAAGTATAACTTTATCATACAGTTAGCTGATTATGGTAGTCACCAAATTACTTCTAAAAAAATAATAGTGTATAAACACACAATATGCCAACAGAAAGAATACAGATTGCTTTTGACTAGCCCTATAGAGGAAAGGGTTCAGAGAATTTGAGCTTTTACATGTACTTTAAAAAATATACAATATGTTAAATCTAGGTTTTTAGTGTACTAGGGTATGAATACACAGGATATCAACAATTTTCTATACTTTATTTTTACTGAGTATCAAAAAGGAAAAAAAAAAACAAACCACCAGTAGTTTACATCTGATTACAAGCCATTAATCCACCACACTGCACACCAAAGTAAAACTTTTTCACTAGTTTAAATCTGTGATTGAGCAAAGACCACACACCCCAAAGCACACATTAACAAAGGCAGTCTTTACTGCAAGCCTTCTTTAGTCCAGCAAGAATTTGTCTTTTAACCAGGGCCACCACAGCATGTACCAGACTGAGAACATGAGAAAGTGCAGTAATCAGTACAATGAAAGAAAAAGATAGGACAGCTATTTTGTACATTTAACACTACAAGAACACAGTTATAGAAGACTTCTCTTTGGCAATTTAGGTTCAGCAAATAGTGAAAAATTACTAGTCAAACCTAACCCATAACTTAGAATAAGCCACTCCTAGGTATGCTTGCCACTCCCTCTGTACTGCCCACTTAAGGTTTCTCCAGCTACAAAATTGCCATAATAGCCCCACTTATGGCAAAACATAAGGCTTTTCCTCTCACCATACTGCCAGGACTGGAAGAGCTCCCAAGCTTCTTCCAGTTTCTTGCAATTATCAGTTTCTCCTCCCTTTAAAGCCTCTTGATTTTGTATCTTCATCTATCAAAATGAGTGCTTTCTACATAACACAGAGTCCACTTTTTCCATAAAGGACTTCATATATGAAGTATATCTTGTCACAGGTTATACTATAATTGGACACCTTGTCTTAAAAAACCCCAACAGTTATTTTTAGTGTAGTGGTTTTTAATGCAACAATTTCCCATGCTCTGAATTCAAAAGTTGGTACTTTTTTTTTTTGCTACAGCAGACACAGCGAATTCAACATTTCCAAACAACATTTAAGTGACACTATATAAACTACTTATATAATCAGATTTTATATTATCAATGGAGCAACTCTCACACATGCATGAGTATCTCAAGTATTACTGGATTTAGTTGCTAATGTAAAACAAAATAGAAAACTCACTTTCTGCACATAACACAAAGTTTCTTTGGAGTGGGTTTATGTGAAAATGATGAGAGGCAGGTAGTAGAACAAAAAAGGTGAGCCGATCCTTTCCGCTGATATGCAGTCTGTCCCTTTTGTAAAGGCTTTTTACAGTTCGCACATGTGACTTTAACCTGCTTAGAAGGCTGTTGCTGGGCAGAAGGCTGGAAAATTTGCTTAGGAAGTGATGCTACAGGTGACAAGGAATCCACACCTGGTTGCTTCTGATTCCTAGGGAAGGAAGCTGACTGAGATATCCAAGAATCTTCAAGACAAAAAACCCAAACAAAAATAAAAGTAAGTGAAGAGACATATACATACATATATATAGAATAACATTCACAGATGGATGATCATGAAAATCATTTTTCTGTTGGAACTAACAGAAGAAAGATATTTTCAATTCAGATTTAAAGTAAAATCCCATTTGATGGTACCATTCTCCGTTGTTACAAAGCTTCAGAACATTAACAAATTTCAGGATGGTCCTATCTTACATCTAGTGACAAGTTTTGCAGACTTCGATTCACTTGCACCGGGTTTGCAAACTGGCAATTTTATCTTCAGAAAAACAACACTGCAGTTAGCAACTGCAATTAAAAGATAAAAAGAGACCAACAGAGAACATGGAATGTCTAAACCAATGTTTGAGACAAACTCTGCAAATTTGTAAGAACGTGAAGTCTTAAATTTTCATTAGTTACTTTGTTCTAAAGCTGTAACTAGTGACAAACCCTCGAACTGGGGTTCCCCATACTCGTTTCCTAGTCCAGCCTACAGCCAGAGAACTATACTGCAGATAAAGTGAAACACAGTGGCTCCACATCTGAGATCTGCATCCATGCCACTGATTCCTGCAGAAGTTTGTGGTTTTCTCAATAACCTTTTCAATGCAAGGAACACCAGTTAATGTGCAAACTTGAAAGGTCATGAGAGTTTCAAGTCTTCTTCAGTAGAAATCAGTGAACCTAGAAAATAATATTTCCTTTAGTTCTGGCAATACATAAATCCAAGACTCCGTGTTCCAGACTGCCCTAGTCTTCCATCTGTATTTTTGGATAATAGGTTACCATGGAACAAAGTCATCTTTGCCCAAACTTTTGTAGCATAACCTGCTACATGAGTAACTTGCAGAAAGAGAATGTAAGCAAAACATTTTCTCTAAAAGAAACACATATAGAAAGATCATATGTTAAGTTACATGCTTCATATCTTGGCTTGGAGTAGAATATACAGTTCTGGTGGAAAAAGAAATCCCCCAATAAAATTTCATTTCTAGACTTTTCTCTGGAATTTGAGCTTTCATTCAAAACAATTATCACCAGAATTTAGCAATGTTGAGCTTCTGAAGACTGCTAATAATAAAACATTACTTAAACATGAATTAAAACTGAATAAAAACAATTTTGCATTACAAAAAACATTTACACAAATTCTCAACAGTATGCCTGTTATACCAAATAGTGTCACAGCACTTGGGACTTACAGCCTTGAATGTCTTACTGCAGTAATTCAGCATATTCCTGGAAAGATGATTTTAAATTCTATGACTTCAGATAACAAAACCCTCAACCTACAGACGTCAGTAACCGACTATACCTCCTTCTTAAGGAACATTATCTTAGTCCATAATTGTTCATTAAGAAGAAGGCATCCTTTCCTCATATTATTTTCTGAAGTCCTTTCTTTCCCCAAAGGTTTTATTAACAACATACTCTGATGTGTTACTTTAAAATTCATTTTAGGGACAAAGTTCCAAGAACCCTTGTTAGTGAAACAAACAACATACATTCATTAGCAGGCAAAAGATAATTTTCTGGTGTGACTTTGTAGCTGTCAAGGATGTCCTAATTCTCAGACATGTAAGACAAGCTAGGAATTCAGCCATTGTAATGCTTGAGGGTAAACAGAAGAGCTGGAATAAAGAGGTGAGGGGAAGAGGAAAAGGTCACAAAACAAAACACATTTCTCTTTAAAGAGGCTTACTTTGGAAAGCATGAGTATCCTTACTGACAAACTAAGACAAGCTACCACAGTGCTTAAAGTTAAAATTCACTTGAGTGCCCTCTTCAAACTTTTCTATACATCTACTACTTCAGATATATATAGCACCTTAACACCTCAAAGTATTTTGAGATTCTCCATCTTTCTCAAAGATTTCAAGTGAAAGCACATTGTCTCTCTTATCAGGAATGCAGAGCATGTGCAGTAGAGTTGTATCTGCTTGTAATTCCAGTAGTGCTCAACTGCAACTCATGAAAACAGGAGTTTGCTGGACTCATTTGAGCTTGAAACTTTCACCATGACTTTCTAGTACCTCATTAAGACTACTTCAATTATTCCTTAGTTTCTTAAGGCTTCAAATGGCCACCTCTGACATTTTGTTGCATTTCTTCTTCCACAAACACACCAAAAGAAAATATTCATTTTTATATTATGCCTTATTTTCACATCTCACTTCTCAACCATGTTACCTCCTCCACTTTAGATTCTCTGCAAAGATCTGTAAAATCTGGTTTTCATGTCCTTGAACTGAGAAGGTGTATCACACTTCCTTTGTTGATTGCTGATGAGTTTCCATGCCTCACTGCCTTATGTCTTCATCCTTCAGGTTCCTACCTGCAATACTTTATTGGCCAAGTTTATAAGGCTATACAGTTTCACGTTCAACTTCTTACCACAATGGCTTTTCAGGTTGTTCCCATTCTTTCTTATTCATTCCTGCTCTAAACTGCTATAAAATTATTCCTTATTCTCATTTGTACCATTTATTTCCAGAGTTGTCTTGCAAAAACGACATCTTTTAAACGAGCTGAAAGAAATGTGTCATTACAACTTGGGGTAGAGGTGGGGAAGAACATAGTACTCAAGTTTTACAGAGGTACACAGCTCAAAACATTTGCATTAATAACCTGGTTCAGATCAGGGCAATTCTGAAATGCATTCTCAATTTAGGTGCTGGCTCTGTTTCTGAAGCATTTTTGAAGCGCAAAAACTAGACTCTATTGAGAGAAACAAAACCTAAGTTCCAGTCCAAAGCATGTGAAACTCATCTACATGGACTTGTGTTCATCTACCTGGACTTCTCCAAGATCTTTGACGTGGTCCCCCACAACATTCTTGCTGCTAAATTAGAGACATACAGATTTGATGGACAAGGAATTGGCTGGATAACTGCATCCAAAGAATCACAGTTAATGGCTCAATGTCCAAGAAGAAACCAGTAACAAGCTGTGTCCCTCTGGGGTCCATACTGGGACTGATACTATTTAGTAACTTCATCAACAGCACAGACAGTGAGATTAAGCACACCCTCAGCAGATTTACTGCAGACACCAAGCTGAGTGGTGCAGCTGATAAACCAGAAGGATAGGATGCCATGCAGAGGGACCATGACAGCCTTGAGGAATGAACCCATGTGAACATCATAAAGCTCAACAAGACCGAGTGCAAGGTCTTTCCTCTCCATCAGGGTAAGCCTCAATATCAATACAAACTGGGGGCTGAATGGATTGAAGGCAGGCCTGCAGAGAAGGACCTGGAAACACTGGTAGATGAAAAACTGAACGTGAGCCACCAATGTGCTTGCAGGGTGATTCTGTCCCACTTCTCTGCTCTGGTGAGACCCCACCTAGAGTATTGTATCCAGCTCTGGGGTCCCCTGTACAAGATAGAAATGAGCCTGTTAAAGCAGGTAGAGAGGAGGAACATAAAAAGTGACAGAAGGCTGGAACACTGCTCCTGTGAAGAAAGGTAAAGAGTTTGGAGTTGTTCAGTCTGGAAAAGAGAAGACTGTGGAGACCATATTGCAGCCTTTCAACATATAAAGGGGGCTTATAAAAAAAAGATGGAGACTTTTTAACAAGCCCTGTAGTAACAGGGCAAGAGGCAATGCCTTTAAATTGAAAGAGGGTAGGTTTACATTGGACATGTGGAATAAATTTTTTACATGAAGGTGGCAAGATGGTAAGACACTGGAATGGGTTACCCAGAGAAGCTTTGGATGCCCCATCCCTGAAAAGTGTTCAAGGTCAGGTTGGATAGGACTTTAAACAACCTCATCCAGTGAATGATGTCCCTGCTCATGGCAGGGTGGTTGGATTAGGTGATCTTTATAATGTCCCTTCCAACCCAAACCACTCTATCAAATGTACTGCAATGCTTACTGAGGACATTAGGTTCTAAATTAATGCATTACACAGAAGTTTTGCTGTTAGGCACCTGCTGCTTCATATACAGTGGAGGTATTTAGCCAAGAGGAATAGACTAACACTGAACCTGAAGAAATCTTCCAAACCACATATATAATCATAAAATTATTTAGGTTGGAAAACACACTTAAGATCATCAAGTCCAACCATAACCCAGCACTGCCAAGTCCACCACTAGACCATGTCCCAAGCATCAGATCTATACCTTTTCTAAATACCTCCAGGGCAGGAGACTCAACAAGCTTCCTTGGGCAGCCTGTTCAGTACTGGATAAAAGACTAAGCAGTGACACTGCTAAAAATACTTTAATCAAATATTCTATAGATCAAATATTTCACAATTTATTTTCAGCTTTTAAGGAAACATTCAAAATTGCAACTTACCAGGATTATGATGAGTCACAGATTCTCCATTTTGAAATACATCTCCAGCCACATTCATTCTACCAGGATTGAAAGGTCCTACACCAGTCTTGGTCTGTGAAGTCAAAGATGGGGTGTATGTTTGCAAATTAACACCAAAATTACTTGACTGCAGTCCGTTAGATACATCTCCCAAGCTGGCATTCTGCAGTGACGTTACATGTGTAATCATTAAGTTCATGTCATGCCCTTCAGTATTTTCTAAATGACCGTCACTGACAGACCTCAAAGCACCTGTTTCTAACGTAGTAACATTAGCAATCTGAATTTCAGAGTCTGGTTCTGTGGTTATACCACTATTATCTATTCCTGAATTTACCTTACTTCTTGAAAAACTGGAAGCTGAGAATTCCATTTCGTTGGTTCTATTTTTACACTCTGGAAGTCTTCGTTCATTAAAACTGGAAGCATTCTTCTCTTGTCCTTGATTTGTTTCAATGTCTTCTTCATCGTCTATAATAATAGTTTCACTTATACTCCCCTTCTGAGAATTTAAGTCTTTTGGAGGAGAAAGCATTTTGCAATCATTCCCTTGAAGTTCTTCATTTTTGGATGATGTAAATGCAGTGCTCCTTTGATCTGCCACCAGTGACGTAGAATTTTGCGGAGGTTGTATAGGTTCAATAAAAACTACATCATCATCATCTTCTATAGGCGAGTTTTGGAATTTATTAGGTCTAGAAACTAAAGAACTCTGTGGCCCTCCAAATGTATTTCCTACATTTGCAAGACCTGCTGCCATGGTGGTATTCCCTAGCAGACTAGGAGTATATTCAGACAGGTCTAATCCTCCCAGAGGACTTGTGTCCATTCCAGATCTGCTGTTTGAAGAAAAATGAAGCAAGAAAAACCACATCAAATTTCAGAGTAAGATACAACTTATCAACAACAGTTATTAAAAATAACTACAGAATTAATAGTTCCAACTTTTACTTTATTTTTCCTGAGATAATGTAAAGACAAAACCAAAGTTTTTCTATGCTTTTCTTTGAATGTCTTAACATTCACTTATTTTCTAATCCTATACTAGCAAAAAAATACTGCCATAACTAACATTTCACACACAATAGCTAAACATCGTTATGTTTAGCAATACATACACAGGAAATAAAATTTTTGATGGTATTTATTACATTATCCTGATATCTCAGTCCCTTTCCCACACCACATGAGCACAAAACGAGCCTTTAACACTGCTTTTGCTAGACTGCAAAGCATGATCAAAAGTCAGACATGCAGAAAGAAAATCTGAATTCCTACTGAATTTCATTCCTATTAGAAATGTTACAGTTTCAATATAAATACAATTAGATGATAAAAGGCTGAAGTAGATATCCAAGTGCCTAGCAAAAAAAAAAAAAGGCAACATCTTTCTTTATATTAACAACTTTGAAATTGAACTGATTTTCCTCCAACTACACACTGCCAAAGGTCCTTAGGTAGCCCCAAGACAAATGGAACAAGGAAGGGATATACGAAACCATTGCACATGACAGGAATAGACACATTATTGAGCAGCAGAAAGTGGACAGCAACTGTTCATTCGTAGCCACTACCACTGGTAGCTCATTTGAAGTCCACGACTCACGAAGTCATGTTCTACTGCAACTTTCAGTAACTTCCTCTCTTAACAGCAAGTGATGCTTATTCAGGCTCCTTCCTAACAGCTACTTTGCCTGGAGGGTTTTGTTTGCCTTTAGTAATTGCTCAGTTTGGGGAATCTGTTCTTCATAACTGTCAATTCTACCATGAATTAAAAAAATTATAAAAGTCAACCTGGATATAATTGAAGCTAAAGGACCTGAGATGACTCTAAAAAACATCTGTATCAAAAATCAGTAAGTTAAATTGTACTTGATTTATACGACAAGAAAAATACAGACATACTTGTGTTATAATTTGGGTATGTCTTGGAGTATACACTGATGTGTGTCATCACTGAGCTTTTGTGAAAGGCTAGAAGTAGCTTTCTGTGCTTTTTAATAAAATCTTTATGCAGGAAAGCAAATACAAGAAGAAGAAATGCCCTGCTCATCAATACTTACCCATCCAGAAATCCACTGCAATCTGTTTACCTTAATAAGTTGCTCCAAGTGCTTTTATTTCCTGTGGGGAAACTGCTCTCGCGCCAATTTGCTGCCTTTCACAAAAGTAGTGTGTTCTGAAAAAGGGTTAAAACAAATATTAGCTATTCAAAATGGTTTCTTCATCTCAAGCCTCATCCACCAACTATGTTCCTTACACTGACTTCCTTCTAAACTTATAGTTGAAGTTAAAACCCGACTTTCAGTACTATCATCCTACAAAGTTTAAGAGAACATGAGCCTCTTCAATTATTGCTGTGAGTCAAGCAGCAACAGGACTGTTAGAGATTTTCTACTCTCACATCACACTTTGAGAATCCTTTGTTTGATGCTTTATAGACAGAGAGAAAAACTACCATGTTTGGTAAAAGACAGACAGACATAACTGCAATTAAGTAATCAAACACTAGAATTAAGAAGTATATCTCTAATACAGTATTAAGGAAATAAATGGTTCAAGTAAACTGAGCAACTGAGAATAAACAATCTGAGCAGTTATATTTCTTTCCTTTCTATTGGGTCAACCTCCTTGCTGCCTGCAGCACAATATATTATGCTAAAATTAAGATATAAAAGGAAAATTATAGAACATACATTATAAATCTGGCCTACAACGCAATATAAACCTTGCATTGCTAATAATTTTCAGGCTGTATATATGCACTGCAGTGATGCTTAGCACAAATTCAGGCATCCATAGCTTATATTAACACATGTGATTATTCACATGAGACTGAAAATGTTCAAAGTTTAAGCCACTATTTATCCTCCAGGTTTTATAATAGTCATTAGGCTTCCCAGAGTTGGCAGCATTTTTAAAAGAGAGAGTATCAACTTGTGTAGTTATCTACTGTTTGGACAGCCCTTAAAATCCCCGGACAGTAAAAATGCCCAGAGGAATAAAGCTCAAATACTCTTCTACACATTTACAACATTATACGAGCCCTCTTGTCCATTAGCTGAGCAGGAGCAGGGAGGGCAGTAAAGCTGTGAACCCGATTAATCCAAAAGAGAGGCGACCACCTTTTAATTCCTTCCTATGTTAGCCTTACAGCCAAATACCGTTATGTAATAGCATTTGAACTGCAATAAAGGTAACATTGAATTGGAATGAAAGAGGTTTTCTTACAAAAAATTGCATTATCAATGCAGTTGGCTTGTACCTCCCTGGAAATCAGTCAGTTACACTGAAGATTAATTTAATCCAATATTCTCTTTCAGGTATCTTACTTTTTCCCTCCAGGGCTGAGTAATTTAAAGTTAGATTTTCCTGCATCTCAGCTTTTGTTGAAAAGAATTAATTCAATTCTTAGTTTCACAGGTTTATTTCATGTATTTTCTTTCTCTACAAGGACAAAAGCATCACAGGCACATAAAGCTTTTAATAAGGTTTTAAATACACCTGAACAGATAGGAGTGAAGAAAAAAAATGAGACTATGCCAAGAGTGTACTTCAGGCCTGACTCAAACATTTGCTGTTCCTATTTTTACAAATCCTTAGCAGAAAGACAGACTTGGTCTGTATTACAGTACACACACATAATATGTAGCAAAGCTAAGATCCAAAACATGTATATTTTTGCCTAAATCTAATTCTTTTTCTGCAAAGCTCTTAGAAAGGTTTTAAATACCTGTATTGTTAGATATTACAAAAATAAAAAAAGCTTGTGTGCTTCAGTGTTACTGCATTTATCATAAGCCAAATCTGCATATATTTCCTTGCAAATAGTTCCTTCCTCTGCAACAAAATTACCCATAAAATCAGAATTATTTTTCAAAAAATGTGCAAAATCAGGTAGCTTATTTTCTAAATGTGCTAGTAGCAAGGAGAAACACAAAAACCACAAAGGCAATGTCACAGTCGGTATTTCTAAATTAAAAACTACCGAAAAAAGAATGATTTAGAGAGTGAAAAAGAGGAGGTTTAGAATGGGAAACTAGGAAAAAACTCGTACCTTACAACTGGCAACTGCAAAAGATGCTTAACAACAGAAATACAACTATTAGAACCTGTAAGATTGATTAGACTGATCATTGAATGAGCGGGTGAGATTTTGGAAGAAAAACAAACAAAAACCAACAAAACCACCAACTAGTGAGACCTGGTCTGCAGAAAATGCATGTTCAGTACTGCTGCAGAATAAGCACAAGGCTTTCTGCTGCTGCACAGGCAGCAAAATTTCATCTAGACAGAAACAGAGGCACTGCCAATATACAACAGCCCTTCCTGAACTATGCCTTGTATGTCCCTCTTAAATTAGGCTACATCACTCACCTGTACAAGTCTTTATGCTGCAATAATTTACAACCCCACTGCTATATTCAAGGCTTAATTTCTCAAATAAATAAAAGGCAAAATGCAGGCTCTTTTGTTTAGAAGGATGGCAACTGCTACAGCTCTTAAGACAGTCAGCTAGGTAACACTCAGGTCAAGTCTTAACTCCATTGTTGAATGATAACAGTTAAATATATCATGAATTGCAGAAATTGCGGTGGGGTGTATGACTACCTAAAAAAAAAAAAAAAAAAAATCAACTCCACTTTAAGAAAAGCAGAAACTGGAATTTAAATGCCTTTACCAAGTGCCATTAGTAACACCAGGAATGAAGGTGGCAGAAGAGCACATGGTTATGTACACTCGGAGCAAGGATACAAAAATCAAAAGGAATCACTGAAATCCAGCTTAAACTACAGTTCCACCAACATAGAGCACTTGAAAAAGACATCCAAAGTAGGACCAGCATGTATAACTGCTTCCATAAAAAGGCTGTAAACCTAAAAATAAAAAAAGAAAACCTAGAAGACTACTTTCAAGATAATACATAACTGAGACATCTTCAAATGTGAACAGATGAATAAAATTTAGGAGACAGTATTACACTAAGATACAAATACAGGAACAAGAAGAAAGGGACTGATTTGCCCTAGCAAAAGAACACTACTTTCTCCAAGGAAAGCACAGAATCGTAACTAAATTATTTACCTCAACAGGTACTGTGCTACATTTAAATTCCACATCCAAACTAGAAGAAACAGCATATCAATGGTGTACTATCAGTCGCTTCCATTCAGTGGTGACAGCACATGTGAGATAATGGGAACGAGACAGCAAAGCGATAACTGAAGATTTCAGCTACCGTTGTGCAGCCCAAGGGAAGAGGGTAAACGGCAGATCCAAAAAATGGGAAAAAAAGCCAACCCCCCAAAACCCCAAACCAACTCATCATTGAACGATGGGGACAAATTTTTACAGCACAGTCAACTGCAACCAGCTCGAAGACAGAACAGAAGACAGAAGGAAAAACAACTCCCGGTCTAACTCTGAGCCATAGTTCACATATGTTCAACATGTAATTACCCAGACAGCACTCCTGAAAAGTGTATTTAAATTCCCAGGGGAATAAAAAAAAAATTAAAAATAAAAAAACCTCATTACTTGAACATCTGACTTCAGAAAGGAGAACAACCTAAGCGCAAGGAACAGAAATGGAGCAGCTAGAACAAAAAGCTTGAGAGCACAAAGGCGTTTTAAAAAACTCACTGTTTTAAGTATACAACCAGTCTAAAAAGACCCCAAAAACACTATAAAGACTGCTATCAGGAAGTCTCTGACCTACAAAGATGCTGGAATTGTATTGGGGGGAGTATATTTCATATACATTTGCCCTATTTATCTTTTGCTAGATGTGGTTAAAGACAGGCTACTGAGCTATGTCAGAGCAACAGTTTGTCTAAAATGCCAATTCTTGTCAATTTTACAAACAGCAAAATTTTCCTAAAGAATACTCAAGAAGCCTGAACCACTGCAGAAAACACAGAATAAACTCTTTGCATTGATGTTCAGTAAGGAAAAGATCAGGGAAGACTATATCTTAAACTCTCTTTCGAGGGGTCAGGCCAGAGAAAAAAATGTCACAAAGTGCTAACACCAGAGGATTTTAGAACAAATCACTAGGGCCACATGGTAGTCACTTAAGATTTCTAAAGACAGGAAGCAATTTTTTATTTCAGTATCTGCAATCAATTACTTAAGCAGAACGTGGGAACAATTACCCAGACTACAATCCTATTTCTATCAGTAGATTAACTAATAGAAACTACAGCTGAATAAATTAAAAAAAAGGAGAAGGGAACTAACATAGCTTTTGCAAAGCAAAGGTAACATCTCACAGGACTACTGCAGACATCTTTTGAAGGGTTCACATACCAACCCTGATTAAACCGGTATACACCACGTAAGTCTTCCAAAAGGCATTCAAACACTGTCCTCACTGGACTGCAGTGGAAACTATCTATAATAAAGACTTGAGAAAGGGTTCTCTGGGGGATTAGTAATTATTTAAAGAGAAAAATATCATGTCTTGTTTGCTGTTATCACAATAAAGCAAAGTTACCAGAAGGGTTCCAAAATAAAATTACATAGGTCAACATACATAAGTCAACCAAAAGAGACAGTGATTCCCAATGTGAGTGCTTCCTAATTACACAAACTTATTCACAGCAGCTGAAAACAGAAACTGATTGTAAAAAACTACAAAAGGATATCACAGTGCTGAATGCTTGGACACTGTCACAAGGCAAAATTACTAGAGATAAACACAAGGTAATGAACAGGGAGCAAAGGGCAACTACAGACATAACAATTTAAGATCCAAGTTGCAATTCTCTCACTCTTTCAAATCAAAGGTACTCAGTCATCAACAACTAAAGAGGAAAAACAAAATAAAAGAACAATCATGAACAAAACAGAATATATTTGTCACTATATAAAAAACATAGTTCACCAGCATCTTGCTTATCATGAGATGTTCAGGTCAGTCCCTTTTCAGAGAAAGGGAAAAACAGACAAGTTCCACAAACAATTTATACTAAAGGAAAAGACTTATCATTGAAAGAAAAACAACTGAACATGCTAAATCTGCAAGAATAAAAAAAAAAATACATAGAAGATAGAGTTGCCCAGTGTCCTATAAGAACAAAAAGGTGCCCTGTGAAATAATTTAGTAGCTTTAATAATCTATTACGAATGAAAATCTTTTCTTCTTAAGTATGAGAGTTACTGCTGTAGAAGGCTACG